CGACCTAGGGGAGGCCCGGGACCGGTTCAAATAATCAGTGGAGCTGGTGCCAGGCTACGTGCACCTAGAGCCACCATCGCCTCTGATTGGACGGCGCCTTCCAGCAGCGAGCGCTTCTATTGGCTTAGCCACTCAGACCGCGTTGTCATCGATTCGATTCTTGAACAAAACGCAACTCGATTCAACCGCTGTAAAAGAAAGGGGCGTTGGGAATCGATGATCGATTCTATAATCGTTTGTTATTGCAGTCCCAGATTGGAGAGAATCGATTTGGTGATAAGCCGCACATCGATTCTGGAGTCGGGAAGGATTCGAAATTCCGCCATCGCGTTTGAGGTGAAATTTTCATTAAAATATTCTTTTGATATTTCCGTATTTAATGTACTTCAACAATAAAACTGCAGAGATTCATATTCTTAAAGCCACGTAGAAAGGAAATAATTAAAATAAAGCAATAAAATAATTTTATTATAATAGTTAAATTATTGTATTATGTTAAATTTGTATTTTATCATTTCCCTTCTACGTGACTTTACCGAAAAAATCAACAATATGGGAGTTTTATTTTCTTGGTTCTGTCGGTAAAGTCACGTAGAAGGGAAATAATACAAATTAAACAATACAATTGCTTTATTATTATAATAAAATATTTAGAATACAATTATTGTATAATGTTTAATTTTCATTAGTTTATTACTTCCTTTCTACGCGACTTTACCGAGAGAACCAATAAATCGGGAGTTTTATTGTTGAGTTTGGTAATTTGTGCTTTAACATATTTCCTCAAAATCGCCTCCCGCCTTGGAGACAAACAGGTTTGGGTGTTTCCCCTCCCACGTGACGCGCAGTTTGTTTCCCGCCAAATCTTTTCGGCTCCTCCCCCTCGCCCGCCCCCATTTGAGGGGGGGGGGGGTGAAGGCGGTTGCCATGGATTTTTGATGCGGTTGCCATGGATTTTTGATGCGGTTCCCATGGATTTTTGATGCGGTTGCCATGGATTTTTGATGCGGTTGCCATGGATTGTTGATGCGGTTGCCATGGTTTTTTGATGATAAATGATTTGCATGTGCAGTGTTGAGTCTATGGTGCAGTGTTGAGTTTATGGTGCAGTGTTGAGCCTATGGGCAGTGTTGAGTCTATGGGCAGTGTTGAGTCTATGGTGCAGTGTTGAGTCTATGGTGCAGTGTTGAGTCTATGGTGCAGTGTTGAGTCTATGGGCAGTGTTGAGTCTATGGTGCAGTGTTGAGTCTATGTGCAGTTTGAGTCTATGGTGCAGTGTGAGTCTATGGTGCAGTGTGAGTCTATGGTGCAGTGTTGAGTCTATGGGCAGTGTTGAGTCTATGGTGCAGTGTTGAGTCTATGGCAGTGTTGAGTCTATGGTGCAGTGTTGAGTCTATGGGCAGTGTTGAGTCTATGGTGCAGTGTTGAGTCTATGGTGCAGTGTTGAGTCTATGGGCAGTGTTGAGTCTATGGTGCAGTGTTGAGTCTATGGCAGTGTTGAGTCTATGGTGCAGTGTTGAGTCTATGGTGCAGTGTTGAGTCTATGGTGCAGTGTTGAGTCTATGGGCAGTGTTGAGTCTATGGTGCAGTGTTGAGTCTATGGTGCAGTGTTGAGTCTATGGTGCAGTGTTGAGTCTATGGGCAGTGTTGAGTCTATGGTGCAGTGTTGAGTCTATGGTGCAGTGTTGAGTCTATGGTGCAGTGTTGAGTCTATGGTGCAGTGTTGAGTCTATGGTGCAGTGTTGAGTCTATGGTGCAGTGTTGAGTCTATGGGCAGTGTTGAGTCTATGGTGCAGTGTTGAGTCTATGGTGCAGTGTTGAGTCTATGGTGCAGTGTTGAGTCTATGGTGCAGTGTTGAGTCTATGGTGCAGTGTTGAGTCTATGGTGCAGTGTTGAGTCTATGGTGCAGTGTTGAGTCTATGGTGCAGTGTTGAGTCTATGGTGCAGTGTTGAGTCTATGGTGCAGTGTTGAGTCTATGGTGCAGTGTTGAGTCTATGGTGCAGTGTTGAGTCTATGGGCAGTGTTGAGTCTATGGGCAGTGTTGAGTCTATGGTGCAGTGTTGAGTCTAGTGTGAGTCTATGTGCAGTGCTTGAGTCTATGGTGCAGTGCTTGAGTCTATGGTGCAGTGTTGAGTCTATGGTGCAGTGTGAGTCTATGGTGCAGTGTTGAGTCCTATGGTGCAGTGTTGAGTCTATGGTGCAGTGTTGAGTCTATGGGCAGTGTTGAGTCTATGTGGCAGTGTTGAGTCTATGGTGCAGTGGTGAGGTCAATGGGCAGTGTTGAGTCTATGGTGCAGTGTTGAGTCTATGGTGCAGTGTTGGCAGTCCTATGGTGCAGTGTTGAGTCTATGGTGCAGTGTTGAGTCTATGGGGCAGTGTTGAGTCTATGGCAGTGTTTGAGTCCTATGGTGCAGTGTTGAGTCTATGGTGCAGTGTTGATTCTATGGTGCAGTGTTGAGTCTATGGGCAGTGTTGAGTCTATGGTGCAGTGTTGAGTCTATGGGGCAGTGTTGAGTCTTATGGTGCAGTGTTGAGTCTATGGGCAGTGTTGGTCTATGGTGCAGTGTTGAGTCTATGTGGCAGTGTTGAGTCTATGGGCAGTGTTGAGTCTATGGGCAGTGTTGAGTCTATGTGCAGTGTTGAGTCTATGGGCAGTGTTGAGTCTATGGGCAGTGTTGAGTCTATGGGTGCAGTGTTGAGTCTATGGGCAGTGTTGAGTCTATGGTGCAGTGTGAGTCTATGGTGCAGTGTTGAGTCTATGGTGCAGTGTTGAGTCTATGGTGCAGTGTTGAGTCTATGGTGCAGTGTTGAGTCTATGGTGCAGTGTTGAGTCTATGGTGCAGTGTTGAGTCTATGGCAGTGTTGAGTCTATGGTGCAGTGTTGAGTCTATGGGCAGTGTTGAGTCTATGGTGCAGTGTTGAGTCTATGGTGCAGTGTTGAGTCTATGGTGCAGTGTTGAGTCTATGGTGCAGTGTTGAGTCTATTGGCAGTGTTGAGTCTATTGGCAGTGTTGAGTCAATGGTGCAGTGTTGAGTCTATGGTGCAGTGTTGAGTCTATGGTGCAGTGTTGAGTCATGTGCAGTGTTAGTCTATGGTCAGTGTTGAGTCTATGGTGCAGTGTGAGTCTATGGGTGTCATGGTGAGTGTTGAGTCTATGGTGCAGTGTGAGTCTATGGTGCTGTGAGTCTATGCAGTGTTGAGTCTATGGTGCAGTGTTGAGTCTATGGTGCAGTGTGAGTCTATGGTGCAGTGTTGAGTTATGGTGTGTCAGGTGTTAGTCATGGGCAGTGTTGAGTCTATGGTGCAGTGTTGAGTCTATGTGCAGTGTTGAGTCTATGGTGCAGTGTTGAGTCTATGGTGCAGTGTTGAGTCATGGTGCAGTAGTCTGAGTCTATGGCAGTGTTGAGTCTATGGGCAGTGTTGATCTATGGGCAGTGTTGAGTCTATGGTGCAGTGCTTGAGTCTATGGGCAGTGTTGAGTCTATGGCAGTGTTGAGTCTATGGGCAGTGTTGAGTCTATGGTGCAGTGTTGAGTCTATGGTGCAGTGCTGAGTCTATGGGCAGTGTTGAGTCTATGGGCAGTGTTGAGTCTATGGTGCAGTGTTGAGTCTATGGCAGTGTTGAGTCTATGGGCAGTGTTGAGTCTATGGGCATGTTGATCTATGGGGCAGTGTTGAGTCTATGCATGTTGAGTCTATGGTGCAGTGTTGAGTCTATGGGCAGTGTTGAGTCTATGGTGCAGTGTTGAGTCTATGGGCAGTGTTGAGTCTATGGTGCAGTGTTGAGTCTATGGTGCAGTGTTGAGTCTATGGTGCAGTGTTGAGTTTATGGTGCAGTGTTGAGTCTATGGTGCAGTGTTGAGTCTATGGGCAGTGTTGAGTCTATGGTGCAGTGTTGAGTCTATGGGCAGTGTTGAGTCTATGGTGCAGTGTTGAGTCTATGGTGCAGTGTGTTGATCTATGGTGCAGTGTGAGTCTATGGTGCAGTGTTGAGTCTATGGTCAGTGTTGAGTCATGTGCAGTGTTGAGTCTATGGGCAGTGTTGAGTCTATGGTGCAGTGTTTAGTCTATGGCAGTGTTGAGTCTATGGTGCAGTGTTGAGTCTATGGTGCAGTGTTGAGTCTATGGTGCAGTGTTGAGTCTATGGGCAGTGTTGAGTCTATGGTGCAGTGTTGAGTCTATGGTGCAGTGTTGAGTCTATGGTGCAGTGTTGAGTCTATGGTGCAGTGTTGAGTCTATGGTGCAGTGTTGAGTCTATGGTGCAGTGTTGAGTTATGGGCAGTGTTGAGTCTATGGTGCAGTGTTGAGTCTATGGGCAGTGTTGGTCTATGTGCAGTGTTTGAGTCTATGGGCAGTGTTGGTCTATGGTGCAGTGTTGAGTCTAGGTGCAGTGTTGAGGTCTATGGTGCAGTGTTGAGTCTATGGTGCAGTGTTGAGTCTATGGTGCAGGTTGAGTCTATGGGCAGTGTTGAGTCTATGGTGCAGTGTGTAGTCTATGGTGCAGTGTTGAGTCTATGGTGCCAGTGTTGAGTCTATGGTGCAGTGTTGAGTCTATGGTGCAGTGTGAGTCTAGGTGTTGCATTTGGTTGCAGTGTTGAGTCTATGGCCGTGTGAGTCTATGGTGCAGTGTTGAGTCTATGGGCAGTGTGAGTCCTATGGTGCAGTGTTGAGTCTATGGGCAGTGTTGAGTCTATGGTGCAGTGTTGAGTCTATGGTGCAGTGTGAGTCTATGGTGCAGTGTTGAGTCTATGGTGCAGTGTCTGAGATTCTATGGTGCAGTGTTGAGTCTATGGTGCAGTGTTGAGTCTATGGTGCAGTGTTGAGTCTATGGTGCAGTGTTGCGTCTATGGTGCGTGTCTGAGTCTATGGTGCAGTGTTGAGTCTATGCAGTGTGAGTCTATGGGCAGTGTTGAGTCTATGGTGCAGTGTGAGTCTATGGTGCGTGTTGAGTCTATGGTGCAGTGTGAGTCTATGGTGCAGTGTTGAGTCTATGGTGCAGTGTTGAGTCTATGGGCAGTGTTGAGTCTATGGTGCAGTGTTGAGTCTATGGTGCAGTGTTGAGTCTATGGTGCAGTGTTGAGTCTATGGTGCAGTGTTGAGTCTATGGGCAGTGTTGAGTCTATGGTGCAGTGTTGAGTCTATGGTGCAGTGTTGAGTCTATGGTGCAGTGTTGAGTCTATGGTGCAGTGTTGAGTCTATGGTGCAGTGTTGAGTCTATGGTGGAGTGTTGAGTCTATGGTGCAGTGCTGAGTCTATGGTGCAGTGCTGAGTCTATGGTGCAGTGTTGAGTCTATGGTGCAGTGTTGAGTCTATGGTGCAGTGCTGAGTCTATGGTGCAGTGTTGAGCCTATGGTGCAGTGTTGAGTCTATGGTGCAGTGTTGAGTCTTATGAAGCAATAATCTTTAAAATCAGAAAGTCCGGGTGGACCATTGCAAAGCGTTCACAACACTCTCCCCTCACAGTTGCGCATTTCTCGCTCAGCGATGTCGCACGCCTCAGACCCTCCCAGGATGTTCCAAATTCTCCGCTACGCGGTGCCGCCGCCTCCGGCTCAGGAGACGCGCCTCGAAGCCTCTGGGCCGCTGCCCGAGACCTCCGCCTGCCCTGTGGTGGCCACCGGCGGTGACGGATACGGTGACAGTGACGGTGACGGCGGCAGCGGTGACGGCCCCGGTAACGTCCCGACGCTTGTACGCAAGGTGAGTGTTTCTCGACTCGTGTTCAACTGGAATATCTTCTTGGTTCTTTCGGTAAAGTCACGTAGAAAGGAAGTAATAAAATTAAAATGAAACAATTCTCACGACGTTTCGGCCACAACGCAAGCAGCCGTCCTCAGGTTAAAACCACCTGAGGGCGGCTGCTTGCGTTGTGGCCGAAACGTCGTGAGAATTATATTATTATGTTTTATTTTTATTATTTTATTATCTCCCTTCTACGTGGTGACTTTACCGAAAGAACCAAGAAGATGAATCCCTGCAGTCACGAAAGCTTTACATCGACATTCAACTGGAATGATTTCTCGTTGCTTACCGTACAAAGGGGCCCGTGCGAGGTGCGACGGACGTAGCCGCGTCTCTCTTCAGAAGCGACTCTCTTCCCGTCACCGGAGTGGGCTCGCCGCCGTGTGGACGTTCACGTTGGCCAAGTGACTCTTGTTCAACACGGGTCACCTTCATTTCACATGTGGAGGGATCATCAGGCGGGGCCCGGAGAGAAATCCACACGGCCATCGGGGGAGAGAGAGAGAGACACAAACTCCAAATATAGAGCGGGTGTCAGGGTCCTGTAGACCAGGCGAGGTAGTTAACATCTCCTAGCCACCGTGATGATGATGATGAGAGAGACGCAAACTCCAAATATACAGCAGCAGGCGTCAGGGTCAGGATCGAACCCACGACCTCCTGCGTACCAGGCGAGGTCGTTAACATCTCCTAGCCACCGTGATGATGATGATGAGAGAGACGCAAACTCCAAATATACAGCAGGTGTCAGGGTCAGGATCGAATCCACGACCTCCTGTACACCAGGCGAGGTCGTTAACATCTCCTAGCCACCGTGATGATGATGATGAGAGAGAGACGCAAACTCCAAATATACAGCAGCAGGCGTCGTCAGGGTCGGGATCGAACCCACGACCTCCTACGTACCAGGCGAGGTAGTTAACATCTATCCACCGTGATGATGATGAGAAAGACAC